GTCACTCTTTAGCATTTCATTTATTTAAAGTGTCTTACATTTGATTAAATTAATATAATTTATTTATAGATATTATGCCAAGCTAAAATGTGAACTGTTGATGTTGACTGTGCACTAGAACTTGCTTGTGCTACTGGAAGGAGGTGGGGATGGGTGGCAGAGGGGCTCAACAAGCTGAAGTAGAATTTAATTTCTCCTTAAAATTAAGCTTTGAGAAGCTGCTTCAATCACAACCCCTTGACCTTGTCAGTCAGCAGCACTGTCCCACCTTGTCAAGGAGCTGCTAGGCAAGACAAAGTCTTACCTGATGGTTGCTTTTGTGTTACCTCTTCCCTGTTGTTCAAAAAACCCCCCCCAAAAAATCCTCAAAGCACAACCCTGGCAGTAGGAGCACTCTCCCAGCTGTTAGTCAGACTCTTTCCTGTCAGTTGTAGGAGTCTGACAGCACTGATCAGGCTCAACTCCACTTCAGAGGCAGTTCTCCCCTCTCTGTTTTCAGTAGCACTCTGCACGTTTACTGTCAGTTGCCTTTCCTAGGGTGAAGTTTGTACAAGTAGGAAGTATTTGGTTTAAGGTTACAGACGATGTGACAGGAACACGAGGAGAAATGCTCTCTGACTTATTTCCCTGAGCTGCAAGGTGCTCTGGCTACCCTGAAGGAAGGGCTACCTCGTGCTCTGAGGTCCTGCCTCACACCCCACCTCATCAAGCAGGACCTCTGGGAAACTGCAGCTGCCCTGAGACATTTCAGTTCAGGGTCTGGAAAGAGCTTGCTTCTGGAGAGCTGAGGGCAGAGAAGGTTGTTACACGTGGCTGTGAGCCAGCCTGCAGCAGCTGTGCCAATTTGATAAGAATGCTTAGAGCAAGTTTGCCAAAAAACCTTTAAGTTTCTTCCATCTACCCCAGGAACTTTCCACAGTTAATTACAAGGGCACGTTATTATCAAGAATCACACGAGGCCTCTTTGTGCCACAGTGGCTGCTGGTGTAACACCTGGAAGCTGCTGTGCAATTCAAAGCTGTGTCTTTTTAAATATCAAAAATATCATATAAAACCCATCTTTGCTTTTCAAGTAAAAGCACCTGCAGCCTAACCCAGAAGAATAGCTCCCTCCACCCTGCCTGCTGGTTGTGTAACAGCTTAATTGATCCCAACACCTCTTAAGCTCAGAAAATTTTGATTCAATCCCATTCAGAGTGCTCTTAAGCTTAAACTCTTTGCAAAAAACCAGCACAAGCTGTTAAATCTGTCCTAGGCCAGTGTTAAGTTTCTTCCCTTTCTAACTGTCTTACCTGGGAGGTAGTTAGGACACATTTTCTACAAGCAGATAAGGGACAAGACTGAGAGTTACCTGTGTACTACAGCATTACTCCACGCTTACTCCATTATTGGTGACAGGGAAAGCCACCACGAATGAGGAAGGTTGTTCTGTCCTTACAAAGTGTGCTTATTTTTGTAGTGAAAGGTGAGTATAAATAAAATCTGCACTTTAGAGCTCCAGGGGGAAAAAAAATAAAAGAAAGTGTTATTTTAGTAACAGATTAATAAACTATTTTAATATTAAATCTTTTGTTTGGAACAGGCTGTTCTCAAAACACTTCTCTGGTCACAGCTGAGTTTGTGGAGTAGCAGGTTACACCATAACACAATGTGACTCCCACAGCTGCATACAACCAAAGCTTAATTCCTCACTAGTGTTCTGTACACACCCACCAGCCTTGGCCTTCCCACCCTGCAAATCAAAGCTTCAAATTAAAGTGTTATTAGATTAGATTAAGTTAAAAAAAAAGTTAATTTTGATACACAATCCCATTGCATCATCAGGACCATAGCAGAGAGCTAGCCCAAGCTTCTGGCACAGAGGCTGCACACCCCACCGAGAACAAGCACCAGCAGAACCTGGGCCCCTGCTGCACCAGCACCACGATGGCTGCTGGTACGTGGTTCAGAGCTGTAAAACAGGCTCAGCACTCCCAAGGAAAGCCCAGTGAAACCAGCACAGAACATAAGCACTGAAAATAGTGTTTATTTGCAGCAGTGCTTGTGTTGTACAAGTGAACTTGGTACTGGGGTCCCCCCTCACATTCAGCCCCCGCGTGTGTTGACTTCCAGAGTCAGCAGTGGTTGCACCTGACAAGCAGTGATGTTTCTATCCAAGATCATGTACCAGATTATTTTAAAGTCTGATGTGATTATTGAAGTGGTTCCAGGAAATTCATACTAGAAATTAGCTCCTTAAAGGTATGTAAGTGACACTGTGCAGCTCAGTGCACCCGAGAGGTGAGGTCCATCAGTATTACCCAGCTGCCATAGGCTAAGTGCAATTCCAACACCCACATTTAAACAAAAGCAACGATATTTATATAAAACCTTTGAGAACTTGAGTTTAATAAGCCAAGAAACGTCAGCTTGCACTTCACATTTGTACAAAACCATACAGAAACCACCTGCAAAAGACGTATGAGCTAGCTAGCAAAAACAACAACAACAAAAAAATGGTCCTCAGCAACAGCCTGGACATGTACAGCTTCGATGGGAAACAAAAATTACCAGGGCTAAGTATTATTTCATGACACTTAAAAATAATAATAATCCCAATGTCTTACAAATACACAATATAAAAAACAAGTCAACTCAAACAGAACGTTAACCGAATACATATATATGTATACTTGTGTATATACATATACACACATATGTATAGAAACTCTCCCAATACTAAAATAGGCCATTGTGGTGAAGTTACTAGCGTCTGCCGTTGAACTCTGAATGGAAGGAGAAAGATTAATGTCCCTGTGTAGGTGTGTGGGTGTCAGACGGGTTCGTTGTCAGAGAGAATGGCTGCAATCACAATCGGAACCGACCAGTGGAGCCTGACAAGGTTATCACGAGGCTTTCACATTGCATCTCATTCGTTAATGAAAGAGAAATATCTGGGAAGTATTCAAGAAAACTTGATGTGGCATCCAAACTGTACAGGAAATATTTCCCTCCTTGTTACCCTCAATATGAGGAATCATATAAACGCCATTTTACCAGAATATAGTATAGAAACAAGAGGAAAAACAACTGGATTTGTTCCATCCTACACTGATCTCTGAATGCAGTAGTCCAGGACAGTATTTACACACGACTGCGACTGGCGTTCTCTCCTCGCTAGCATAAGGACACAACATGGCTTCCATAAAGGCATTTCACATTTTACCAGACCTGCTGATTGACTGCAGACTTTTTTTTTTTTGCTCACTTTTTCAGTAGCATCTTGGCAAAATCAGCATTGGACATCTTCTTAGGCTCCTCATGGGGTTCAGATGAAGTTGCTGGTGAGTTCTGGACCATCCCATTCTCAGCCTTAGCCACAGGATTACCCTGGCGCTGTAACGCACGAGGCATCATGGAAAGCTGTGTCCTTCCCTTCCCTCGCCTGCAGAACAAAAAGGGACATTTAAAAATATCCCTGTGCTCTTTGAACATCCTGGTTTAGCTTGGGGAAACAAAAAGGACTTTGTTTGCTATGAGGAACACTCATTTAAATATTACTCCTGTCATTTGTTTCAATCAGAAGTGCTGCAGAGCTTTCAATGGGTGCCCTTCGAAACAGAACACCTCAGTCCTGGCAGGAAACAACTGCCCAACAGTCCCCAGAAACCAAAGCTCCAGGTTTATCTACAGGGCACGTACAATACAACACCAATGTGATGCTCAGCAGTGGGAACACTCTAGAAGATGAAAAAACAACCTTAATGCTCACTGTGAACAATGGCTGGTTCTCGAGGAGAGGATGTGGAAGATGGGTGCTTAGGTACTAACATGAGATCCACGGGATGTCTAACACCCGACACGCTCAGTCACTGCAGGCCAGTTTCTATCAGTAATGAAGAAAAATCTGCTTTTCCTCATTAATCCAGCAACCCACATTTTTATGGTTCAGCACCTTTTAAACATTTTCTCATGTTCTAGACAAGATTCCTACTTTGTAATGTAACTGTAATCCTACATTAATTTTATCAATATCTAAAGGGCAGGTGTCAAGAGGATGGGGCCAGACTCTTTTCAGTGGTGGGCAGCGATAGGACAAGGGGCAAGAGACACAAGCTGAAACACAGGAGGTTCCACTTAAAAATGAGGAAAAACTGCTTCAGTGTGAGGGTGTCAGAGCCCTGGGACAGGCTGCCCAGAGAAGTTGTGGAGTCTCCATCTCTGGAGATGCTCAAACCCGTCTGGATGCCACCCTGTGCAACCTGCTGGAGGTGAACCTGCTTTGGCAGGGGGGTTGGACTGGATGATCTCCAGAGGTCCCTCCCAACCCCACCACTCTGTGATTCTGTAGCATTTAAAGGAACCCAGTGTTGCTTTTTTAAGCACCAGTCTCCCTCACTTATACTCACGCTCCATAAACCTGTCGTGGCACCGCAAACTGTGAGGCTCTGCCCGCCTCCGGCCTGTCCGGCAGCTTTCGCAGGGGAGGGTTACTGATGGCCACCTTGATGACGTGTTCCTTAACTGTCAGGCCATCCATTTTCAGCACAGCCTGCGAGGCCTGAGCTTCATTTTCATATTCCACATAGGCCAGGCCCTAAATAAGGAAGAGAGATAACCAACATTAATTTTAGCGCTTCTTTCTCTGCATGACAGCTTTTGATAAATAATTTGGTCAGCTGATAAGAAAACCATACAGAGAGCAGCCCTAAAGATGGCTAAAAGTCACAGTATTCTTTAGCTAAAAAAAAGAATCTATACAAAAGTACAACCTGTATTTCTTGACTCTCACTCACGATGCCAGGAGAAGAGAAGGAGGAGAAGAGAAGGAGGAGAAGAGAAGGAGGAGAAGAGAAGGAGGAGAAGAGAGAAGGAGAAGAAGAAGAGAAGGAGAAGAAGAAGAGAAGGAGAAGAAGAAGAGAAGGAGAAGAAGAAGAGAAGGAGAAGAAGAAGAGAAGGAGAAGAAGAAGAGAAGGAGAAGAAGAAGAGAAGGAGAAGAAGAAGAGAAGGAGAAGAAGAAGAGAAGGAGAAGAAGAAGAGAAGGAGAAGAACTAAGAACCCAGTAAATACAATGAAGTATTGCAGTGGCCCTACGTTAACAGGCTTGATTCAAGAGCCTCAAAACCCAGCCTAAGCAGTTCCAACAGAGTGACTGGCATCGCTGCGCTGAGAACAGGGACTGGTGACAAAAGTGTTCTTTGCAGGAAATGAATCCACATTGACTTCACCAGTAACAGCTGTGAACCTCACTGGGAACCAGCTGCTGGTGCCCCTTCAATAATGGGGTTTTATTTCCAGCAAACAGACAAAAGGACACCCTGGCATCTGCTAGAGCAAGTACTAGTTGGGAAGCATCACCTCCCAGTAGTTCTATTATTGTTAATTTTTTGGATAACATTCAAACCCTTAAGCTGTATTTTTGGATGATCCAGTTTCACGGGAAACACATCAGATTTTATACAATATTCAAAGTACATGTATTTGTGGTTTAGACAGAATCCCAGCTCAAAAGTCAATGTTAATCTGCAAGACTTGGGGTACACATGAGAGCACACATGCAACAGGAACTGTACATGAGATATTACCAAGAGCTAGAAAATATGTTTTAACAATACACACCCCCCATCACCAGGATGGCACCTGTTAGAAGTGCCCGACATGCAGACACTGTCAGACATGGTGTCAGGTGGAATTCTGGCAGAGCAGCAGCTCATTTAAAGTCTCTTATTTAACAAGGAGTCATTGATTCCTGGAGGCACATAGTGAGCCTTGTCAGAGAGAGGTGGCTCATTTCTCACTGGCAAATGTATTCCTGCAGCAGGTGTTGTGAACAATAGCCTCAGGAAACCGAGGGAAGGGAGGAGAGGGATTGGTTACACCAGGTGAACCCTGTCTAGTCAGGTACTTTAAAATAAAATACTCTTTGCAGACTTACTAATGCCTATTTTTACTGCTTTGAAAGTGCTGTAAACAGTCTTCCCCTCCATCCCATTTATATATCACACATTCTCCTTGTGCCATTTAACAAGTATTTTGGAAGAATTCCTCTTCCTCTCCTACTTCTTATTTGTTGGCACAAAGGCAAACTGGGCTGTATAAATCCAAGCACTTCTTGTTTTAACATAAAGCCAGACTGGCAACTTCCAAAATACAAAACTTCCTTTTTGTATCCAAACTTCATGAAGGGCTTTTTTTTGAAGGATTTCTTAAAATTCAGAGTGCATTAAAGATGCCTACCTTGGGTTTTCCAGCTCGGTTGGTGACCAGCCGGATGTCTTTCACATTTCCATGTGCTTTACACACATTTTCCAGCTCTTCCTTAGTGCAAGAAAATGGCAAACCAGAGATAAATAGTTTATGTTTCTCCAGTGTAGTGCTATACCTGAACACCTGAAGGGAAAAAAAAAAAAATTAAGAAAAAAAAAAAAGGCTGTTAATTTGCAAACCAGTCAGAGACTCCAAGGATTTCAATTTATTACACCCCCAAAGTGTTATCAGAATCCTTCATATTTGTGTGATCCAAAACTACCTTAAAGCTACCTGTAGTATCTTTGATATTTGCACATAAACACTAAGGACTTGCAAGTAAATGCTTCTAAACACCCATGTCGCCTTCACAATGAAGGCAGCCATCGATAATAACTCAGATAGTGACAACTGAGCAAGAAGACACTAAGTTTTTCTGTACAGTAACTCCAAAATGCAGCAAACCACTGCAAGAGATCATTATACAACTGATCTCTCAGCACAGCTCATTAACAAGAACCAGTGGGTTGTGTAATAAATGCCCACAGCTGCATGACTCAACCAAAAAAATTACCTTACAGATTGAGATGCTCAAGTAGGAATCTGGGTACATCACACCGTTAACGAGCTGCCCAGATTGGATTTGTGTAAGTGCTGAGTAAGCTAAGGGCAATCCTGCTTTATGGCAAAGGAACAGGAGATGCAAGACTCCCAGAAAACAGGTTTGCTGCTCAGACATAACACGATCATTCCAAACTAGCACAACATGAATTCATTAGATGCAAGTCCCCTGGGAGCAACATATTCTGCCAGCTTTCCTACGCAGTCCCACTGTTCAAACTAGTACTTGAAAGAATAAAAGTTTACCTTAAAGTCTGGATTCTTGTTCTTGTCAACACATGGGGAAACAAACATGGGCCTTCCCTCCACCACTTTACGATCCAGGCCAAGAGCTTGGAGAGCAGATTTTTCTTCCTTGAATTCTACATAGCAGTAACCCCGGAAAGTTCCCTTGTTGCTGAAAACTGGACGGATTTCTGCTACCTCCCCACAGCTCTCAAAGAGCTCTTTGAGTTTCACTTCAGGATCTGACATGTTGTAGGAAAGGTTGCTGACAAAGACAGTGACCTTGTCTTTACTGCTGTCGTGTAAAACCTTGGGGATGTCTTTTCGACTGGTAGATGCCTTTTCCTTTTGGTTTGCTGGGCAATCTGGCTTTTCAGGTCCACTTCTTCCAAACAGCCCAGTTTCTACCTCCATGTCTTCTTCGAGAAGTACACCATCACCCTCTCCCCTGTGCCTCTTGCTGGGCTGCTCTGCTGATTAATGAAATTTAAGGCTTTACTAGAAAAAAATTACCCCATTTCATTCACCACTGACATTAATCTGTCCTCCATTACCACTACAGAGCTTGGAAATGGCACGTGAAGCCACAAATACAATGACAAGTCTTAAAAGGCACAAAATAAAAGTCTCCCTCAGTTTTTTAAGAATGAGTAACAGCAGATTATTTGACTAAGACAGCAAGTATTTAGATGAAAGCAGCAGGGATATATTTTCCCTTTTTCTGTCAGTTACAACTACTGATTCATGTTCTTTCTTTTTGTCAATAGATTATTTTTTTTTTTTAAAGAAACACAAAAATGTAAAAGCTCCCAAAACTCCCAGGGGCAGCAATCTATTAAAAATCTCTGTTATCACCTTCCAAGAGACTGTTACAATACTGAATAACCCCATTTAGACACACACTTCGGTGTCATTTGATGAGTCAGGAAAGTTACCTTTTTTTTTTTTAAGCAAAGAAGAAAAACCTAGAAACACATCCTATAAAAGTTCTTACAAACACATACTTCTGTTGATCAAAAGCCACTTAGTCTTGCTTTCATTTCACTACCACAAAGATCTCCCAGAAGAAAAAGACCTTCAATAGACAACAGCTCTAATGACGCCAGAGATGGCACATCCTTATCTGCCTCTAACAGAGGAGGCAACTGATAACCCCACTGCCAGAGGTCTGAAGTTTCAGGAGGTTGGTTTTTTTTGGTTGGTTGGTTGTTTTTTTTACCTTCTTCTTGTCCCCATTCACCCTCATCAGCATCATCCGCTTTGCGCTTGTCTCCAATCCTGGTTTTTTTAGCTTTTTTGGAAGCTTTCTTTTCTGCCCGAGCCTGCTTTCGTTGTTCAGCTTTCTCCTCCTCCTGCTTTGCCAGAGCAGCTTCTTTCTCAGCAGCCTACAAACATGGAAGGTTATTTTTTTAATTCCTAGTGACTGCAGAGCATTCTTACATGCTCTTTTCTAGAGTGCTGAACCCAGAGGCTTTTCCCCTAAGCTCCATGAAACACAGCACTAATGGGATTGGCATTTAAAGAACATCTCAATTGTTTGGTCTTATGGCCACTTTCCTCGAGTGCATGTTACTCTTGCATCCATCCAAGGGTCAAAAGGTGAAAGATAAAAAGCATCAAGAGACACTAACCATAGTTTTAAACTAAAATCAGTTTAAAATCAACAGTTCAGAGGCTTTAAGACAATTAATACTTAGCTATAGGAATCAACATTAGAAATTTGACATTCTGACAAGCATGACCTTAATATAGGTATTTCCTATAAACTGCTGAAGTAGCTCACAGAAAGTTCTGACCTTTGCTCTTTGTTCATTAACTCGAGCTAATCTGTTTTCTGTTTTTTGAACAGCTGCATCCCAGTCTTCCAGTGTTCCTAAAGTATTAAAAAAAAAAAAAGACAAAAAAGAAAAAGCCTTGTATTTATATTTAGCTTTCCATAATTTGAAAATACAATTCTGGAAAGATAAGAGTGAATGAGTTCATGGAACTTGCTCTTAATTTTAACTATTTCATATGACAATTCATAATGAGTAGCCTTCAAAGAAAAACCAAAACCAAGCAGAGCAGAAACCTCTCATCTATAACACAATACTCCAAAAAGGCATGGAAAAACCCAGTCAATTTCAGCAGCTTCCAAGTCAGGCCACAAAAAAAGAGAGAAAAAAAGAAAAGAAAAGAGCTGCTTGTGTATACTACAGTAGTCAAAAGAAAATGAGTCTTCACTAGAGCACAAAACAGTAGATCAAAATTCACTCTGTATCATTGTCACTAACTAGACCAGGTAAGATGAGATGATGTGCATTCAGTTACCTTCTATTCTCTCCAGCGTGAGCAGCACCTCACAGACATGCTCTGGGTAGTCACTTGTGCACTGCACAGCTCGATGCAAGGCCTTCCTGCAGTGCTGAGTATCACCGTGAGCTCTGCAGCAGGGAAAGCACAGCAGTAAGGAGCCAACCCTCCACATCAAGAGGGGAGGTTTAGATGAGATATTAGGAAGAAGTTCTTCACTGTGAGGGTAGTCAGACAGTGTCCCAGGTTGGCCAGAGAAGCTGTGGCTGCTCCCTGGAAGTGTTGAAGACCAGGCTGGATGAGGCTTTGAGCAACCTGGTCTAGTGGAAGGTGTCCCTGCTGCTGGCAGGGGGATTGGGACTGGATGATCTTTAAGGTCCCTTCCAACCCAAACCAGTCTGGGATTCTGTGATTCTATGATAAGATTACGAGACAGGACAGTTCACTGTATTCCACACAAATGTTTTCTCTCCTTCCACAGCCAAGTCGTGCTACAGGCTGTTATAATACTTGTGAAATATACTGCAGAGGTGCTGTAGGAACCTCAAAGCCACATTATAAACCTGTATGATGTACACCCACACTAAACATCCAAGTCTTGTCTCACACAGATGAGGAAACTAAAGAGTTAATTAACTCTTCCAACCAGTCACACTCTTACCTTTCCAGGTTATAATACTCCAGCCACATGTTAGCATATTTGGCATTCCCTTTAGTCATAATGTTGTCCCAGAGCTCTCTGGCCTTCTGCATGTTGTTACATAAGCGGGCCTGAAACATTCAAAGCACACAACAGAATTCAGGATTATTTGTTCAACATCATTAACCTCCTGCCTCCCCCCAACAACAAGAAAATACCACAGATCACACACACAAACCCAGGAAGACACATCTGCCCCTTAGAGTGATCAAAGTGAACACCTAATGTAATTGTACTACTGAATAACACTTCCCTGCCCACCTGTTCCATCAGTCTTGGTTTCTGGCTCCCACGTACATTTTGTTTTGGTCATTATAAAAAGTCACATAGTTGTTTCTGAGTTTTTCCCTTTTGTCATTAGGAATGTACTTAATACAGCACTTAAAACTAGTTCTTAGTCTAAGAGAAGTGCTTCATCTTTGCCACCACCCTAAACCTCTTCAACTGTGGGAGCAGGGGAAGAAGGGAGGTGGATTAAGATACTCAAGTGGGATTCACCTGAACTGGTGAGGTACATGGGTACATCAGACAGCTGACTTATTAGAACTGCTTTAGCATAAGCTGAATGACACCAGGAAGTACTTACTTTCTCCCTCCACTAAGTGGACAGAAAATGAAAGTAATTAATTCAGATTGAAGCCCATATTGTTCCAGAGGATTACAATGCCCAAGATTTTGGCAAGCCATCCCACGCATTACACCCAGAGAAATTATAACACAAGACTAACATGACTCATCCTGATTTGTATGAGCCTGTGGCAAAAGAAGGGAAAGCAAGCTCCCACTGCCAGGCAGTGACTGCACCAGCACACTGACACCTGTACTAGTCTGAAACTAGTCAGTGTAGGCAGCACTAAATTAGGCAGGATTCATGGCAGTTTACAGACTGAGTGTTCAGTTCCAGGTCACCATGGCTGGCCTGCTAACCAAGTTACTCACAGATCTCTGCACCATACTGCAGTCACAGCAGTATGAACAGGCCAACGTTCCTGACAACTTTCTCAAGGAGAATGCTGTGTCCTTCCTGGGATGCCATGCTTCAAGTCTGAAGTTTGACCAAAACTTATGCTTGATCAGTCCAGATACAGGAGTGGAATAAGAATTATTTACTCACTGGAGTTACCCAGACAAAACACTGAGAGTACAAGAGGATTGCATTCTGTGGTTGGAATATTAAATCAATCAATTTCCTCTATTCTAGCAATTTAAACACAGCAGACAGAAACATCACCTCAACTCTTGCCCAGTTCTGCATGATGGTGCAGGATGGATCTCCACTTTCACTGAATCCTGGGAATAATGAAAAAAAAAAAAAGTACTGTTTGTGAACAGCCCTCAGAAATAAAGTGTTTGTACTAAACAAGTTCTACATTGTGGATGAAATGTTTATCTGCAGCTTTCTTAATGTCTGAGACACCTGAAGACAAGTTAAACACTGTGAAGAACTAGTTATAAAATAATAAAAAATTATAAAAATTATTTTGAACAAAATAAAATAAGCTACTGGATGATTTAACTTACGCTCTTCTACTTCTTGTTTCAAATACTCCACAGCACGTGCAAAGGCAGATCGCAGCTCTTCTAGTTCTTTACTAGAGTCTTTAGAAAAAAAACAAAGAATTGCCTTAAAATAATTACATTTTCATCTCCCATCCACTAAAACCTCTTCCCTAATACCCACAATTATTTTATTGGGAGGGGTGTATGTGAAAAAAAGGCATCAAAATGTATTACTTCAGCAAAACTCACTACATGCATAATAAAAACCATCCAGTACCTAAAATAGAAGTACTTCAGTGCAACAGCACAAGCTATTCTGTCTGCAAGGAGCTGCTTTAAACCAACTAAGTTCATGTATTTTATAGACACTAACTGCCCAGAAAGTAATTTTTGTCAAAGACATGAAACTACTTTTAAATCTTTTAAAAAAAAAAAGCAATACCACTGCTTCAAGGGGTACATAGAAAACAGTTTAAATAGTTTATTCACACATATATCATATATACCTTGTGTAAAATCCACTCTTCTTCTTAGGTAATCAAGATATGCCTGCCAGATTTCTACATAGTCTGTTGCCTGAATAAAACCTGCATTCAGAGCTTTTTCAAACATTTCTGGAAGAAATGAGGGGGAAAAAAATACATATAAACATATCTACTTTTCAAATACTAGCAAAATTAGCAAGCTACAGTCTATAGCACAAAGAAGTACATGCAACCTGCACTCCTAAGATGACAGGAAAATACAAGAAATCCTACATATGACAAATTGCTTTAGGAAGTGACCATAAAAACCAGCTCAAATTTCCATGAATGCTACTGAATTAAAGTAAATCACTCAGAATTGAAGCAGCTTTGCCCTAGAAGCACGTCCCTGTACATCACATCAGCTCTAAGATCGTTGCAGCAAGATGCCAATAAATCCTCCAAGTCACTATTTAGCATACACTATTCAGTATGCAGGAAGTAGTTTTGTACTGTAAAGAATTTTTGCTGAGATGGTGTTTCCTTACCAGAAATAGTGCTGTGATCAACTCTATGCCTCTCCATCGCCAGAAGATATCGAATCCACAGCCCAACCGTCCAGGGACAGTTCCTAACAGCACGGTCGTGAGCAGACAACACCAGTTCTTTCACTTTCAGCTGCCGATCCTGAAATAATCAGACCAAGTTTTAAGCTCCTATGAGCCTATCTGAAACCAATACCAGCTCATAAACAGCCAACACCTTTAAAACAGTACTTTCATGTTAGATTTGAAAAGATAAGGGTATTGTAAGTTCTATACTCATATAGCTCTTTTGATCTCCAGCTTCATTGCTCAGGAGCTGAAAAATTCTGATTTTTTTAGTCTATATTAGACTAAATATAAATATAGACTAAGCATCTGTGTTTGCTTTTGGCTTGTTGGTAAATTAGTTCTTTGTTCTCTACTGCAAAATATTCAGGAGAGCATGGGCAGCCCTCAAACAAGCACTTTCATTAATTGATCTGTGCCTCCTGAAGGATGGGCAGGCTCGCCAGCGATTCAGACAGCACTGAACTGCTTTGCCTACAAAAACTAGAAGAAAAAGGGAAACATCTTCAGAAGCAATGCTAGTCTGGATGACAAGCTACCAAGCTGGTTACACCTAGCCAACTCTTTGCCAGCTAGCACGTGCCTCGATGCTCACATCCAGCTCAATTCCACATGCAGAGAAAACACACAGCTAGAGGAAAGAGCGAGGAAACGCTCACTCCATCAATAAACACAGCACTGAAAACAGGAAACAACCCAAAGGTACAGTGAAAATCAGTTTCTAAAGAACTTCAGGACTGAAGATCTAAAGAGCTTGCTGGTTGTTGGTTTATCAGCCACTAAGATTAAAAAAAAAAAAAAAAAACCAAACCCCAAAACCAGGAAAATAAAACTGCAAATATCTGGGTTTTTTCCTTACCAAATACTGATTGTAGCGTGCCCAAAGATCTGGCACAAGGCAGTTCTCAGCCAAAGCCCTCTCATAGATCAACTGAATGCGAGCTGGATCACCTGCTTTCATCTCAAAATCAATGTAAGCTTGATATTCTGCCAGCTTTGGTGTTTCAGCACCCAGCTGTAAAACAAACGGAGACAAAAAAATTAAATCCTAAAAAAAAAGTGCCCAAATCAAAGAGTTCAATTGTTACTCAGAGGAGGTTTAATGCAAAATTTCAGACAAGAGCTTGGCCTCCAAATATCAACAGGTTTTGATTTTTCATAGAATCATAGAATGGTTTGGATTGGAAGGGACCTTAAAGATCATCCAGTCCCAACCCCCCTGCCATCAGCAGGGACACCTTCCACTAGACCAGGTTGCTCAAAGCCTCATCCAGCCTGGCCTTAAACACTTACAGGGAGGGGGCATCCACAGCTTCTCTGGGCAACCTGTTCCAGTGTCTGACCACCCTCACAGTGAAGAACTTCTTCCTAATATCTCATCTAAACCTCCCCTCTTTCAGCTTAAACCCATTTCCCCTTGTTTTGTCATTAACTGCCCTTATGAAAAGTCCTTCCCCAGCTTCCTTGTAGGCCCCCTTCAGGTATTACTTATCTCTGAATACCACCCTGGTTCTGAAGCCATTCAGATCCCTACTTTTTATTCCTCTTAGCCCAGTGTGCTCATCAATGCTGGAAGAAACAGCCAAAATATTCATGTGGACCTTAGGGTGGCCTGACACAGTCAACAGATTCAACAGTTTCCAGTATACCCAGTTGTGAAGTTTACCTCACACTGCCCACAGCTGAAAGAGTCACCTATCAATATTCAGCTGCCTTATCTCTGTGATTAGAAATATAATAAAATTTGGGGGGGAAAAAAAAACCAAACCCAAACAAAACAAAGCAAAACCACACCCCAAAGCAATTAACTCTTAGTTTTAAAGGAAGATGTAAGCAGCAGTACCAGTGCCTCTTCGTATGGTTTACACTTTTCCAGTTGCTGTAGAGCTTTTTTGTAACTCTTGATTACTGTTTCTGGAATTGGATCTTCTGACCATTCCTCATATTCAGCATATGAAGCCTCCATATCTATTAAAACAGACATTAAATCCCATCAATACAGCACTTATTGGGTTAAATATTCAGATTTCAAATAGTGTTTGATTCTAACACATATTTGTATTTTTATTTACACTTTTGATCTGAACTGTCACACTACTGCAAGCTTAAAGACACTTCACCTTATATAGTGTACTACAGCACAAATTCAGGTGTTAGAAAAGTTATAAAGCTCCAGATTTGATTTAGAAAACCAAAAAGACAAGATTTTTCCCAAGTCTTTACAGAGAAGAACCCAAATGTTTTCAATATGCAAATGAAGGAGTCAAAGAACTGTACTTAACTTTCTCCTGTAAGCAAAGCAGCAAGAAAAGGGACTCGAGGAGTTTGAAGGATGAACGAGACACAGCAGGATTCTAACAATCCAGCTGTCAGCCTGCACTGCTCCCTGTCCACCCAGGTTCTTACACAGTGACCATCACAGCTCAATTCCCAGCTCCTAACAGTCATGTTTTGTGCTCATCACTTCTACTTCAAATAGCCTCAAATTATTTACTGAAGAAACCAGATGAACCAAATTTCACTGAGTAAGAATATTTCTGAACAAAAGGGATGGGTGCATCATTCCAAAGGCCCTAAAGACAGGCAAATATCATTGATTAAAGAACACACAAGTGCTACAACTGCAGTTTGTGGCAGAATAATCATGACTAATGCCTGGCTGACCGTAACACAGCTCATCCACACCATCCCTCCAAGTGCACCAGCTCTTACCTAACAGCGGGATCCCCAGCTGGCGCCTGAACAGCGTGTGGATCTTCTCAAGCTGGCTGCAGAGCATCTGCTGCTGCTCAGGAGATGGAATGCTGCCAGGAGCTGGCTACAAACAAAAGGATTGAAATTTAATCAGTTCCCTCAAGCCTAAGCTGATGAATATGATGGGTTATTGCTGATGGGCTGGGGGTCTGGGCTCCAAATGACTACGTGATCTTTGAAGAACAGACACAGCCAACTTGTATTTCAGGTCACTGCTGTGGAGGTTAAAACATGGGAAGTCCTAAACTCAGAAGCTGGATGAAGGTGGAAAGCATTCCTCACTGAAAGCTGACACAGGCATAGGGGAATGATCACCTGAAAAAAAGTAAGCTGCATGTGATCATGTCATTTCACAAACCCACTGGGCTGCCAAATACTTTTTCAGCAAATCCCTGGTGTGTGCACAGATGATTGAAAACTTCCAGCTTTGTTTGTGAATGAAACTCCTTTCATAAAGCCAGTTAGGGTTGGAAGGGACATTCAGAGACCATCTAGTTCCAACTCCCCCACCCCACTGTGGTCAGGAACATCTTTTAATTTTCTTATCTTATGTAGTAAATGTCAATAAATAAATAAATCACATTCTGGCCACCTTGCAATGGTCTCTTTTGCAGTTATCAAACAGTATGTTCCAGGGATAACAGATTATCATCCAAAAGCCACAAAACAGGTGAAATAATGAAGGAGTTAAAAACTGAAGCAGAAAACAGTCTAGAAATGCAAATATGATTCATTATGGGCAAAAATATTTGCTGGCAAGAATATTATTTTTTAATGAAGCTGCTCAATTTAAAGCTGTTCTTGTCAGTTCAAGCTAAAGAAGCAGAGTGAAACTTTACTTCTGGATATGACATTTTTATGATCTTATTTAAATATAAATCCATTACTAGCTCAACTCAACACACAGAATGTTTTCCCTGAACCAAAGAGTCAGTTTCTTACAGTTGAAAAGAAACCAGTGTGTGACATGACAGCCTCTTTGCTCAGAATCACGGTGGTGGTGACGAGTTGAGGGTTGGATTGGATGATCTTAAAGGTCTTTTCCAACCTTAATGATTCTGTGAAGAGACTGATGAGGGGGGCAGCACAAGATGACTTCAAAAAACCACAGCACAGTTTGTTTCTCACAAGAGCCCAGCCTTACCTGTGCTGTTTCCAGGATGGCGTTCTCAAACTCCCGGTAGGCTTCCCACAGAGCCGCTCCCTTCGTCACGTGCAGCCCCACGGCAGTTAACGCTCTCTCAAATATCGAGCGAACCTTCTCCATTCCTCCTTCCTGACCAATGCCACCAATTGAGTACTGGGCATATTCCAACCAAATTTCAGGACCTAAACAAAGTTAAGAGAAACAGGTGACCTCAGTGTCCTCAAAAATATTTTGAAAAGACATCTCTCTGCTTCCCGAACACCCACAAACAGACCAACACATGACAATTTTCTTTACGATCCAGTGCAGTAAAGAAGAAGTAAAATATTTTATTCTACACTCTTGGCTCAGCACCAAACAATTGTCCTCTGAGAGAAGCCACTGCTGTGGTCATTCCTGACACAGCTTGACTCCGGGGTGCCACCTCCACTACACAAACTGCATCAGAGATGCATCAAGACCCCCTCCCCTAACAACAGACCCCAGACTTTTCTTGAGCACGTGTGTAGAGCTGGAACCACAAAGCTGTTGAACTCCTAAAGAACTCAGATTAAAGTAGGTCCTTCTTCTCTTTCCAGGCTCCTCCACTTGCCTGTTCAGCAGCTGCTTAAAGCAGAGTAACTACGGAGGAGGATTTGCTAGAACAGCGTCAGCTGCCTGGGACCTCTCCCATCAACAACAGTATCTGAGCAAACTGGGTGCAGGGACCCCCAGCAGAGACCATCCAACCTACAGATGTCAGATTCATAGAATCATAGAATGGTTTGGGTTGGAAGGGACCTCAAAGATCATCCAGTCCCAACCCCCCTGCCAGCAGCAGGGACACCTTCCACTAGACCAGGTTGCTCAAAGCCTCATCCAACCTGGCCTTGAACACTTCCAGGGAGGAGGCATCCACAACTTCCTTGGGCAACCTGTTCCTGAGATTGCACATCTCAGGCTCCAAAAGAAGTCCTTCCAAACCCCAAGTGCAATCCATCCAGTAGATCCACGGGATATTCCCCTCTCAGTTCTTCATCTCTCCATTCCTTCTCCCTGAACAGCCTCCAACACTCTCTGAGGCTACGCCAGTGCTGTGACATTCTGCACACAGCCTCTGCGAGGGATTTGCCTCAGTGCTACCAAACCCCTCTCTGCTTCTTCAGGCTCCCCACTTTCAGCACTTCACCACAACACCCAAAGAGCACGCTGTTACTTGGTGCTTTAAGCTAAAAGATTTAAGATGTGGCTGCAGACACCTCCTGAAAAATTGGAAAGACAAGACACTGCGTGCTTCCCTCACTTTTAACGAGGATGATCAGGGCCTGGTGAAGCTCTGGAGAAGGTTACCTGATCCACAGAGTTTTCAAGAACTCTGTCTCACAGTCTATGTTCTGAAAGAGCTGTCACAGAGTGGGAATGGCAGTGAAAACAGTGCTAACCAAACAGAGAAGGCAGGAGTGAAAACCAGCCTCCTAAAAGCATTCACCTTCCTCAAAGAGCAAAACAACCCATAATGAGTAACAGAGAAAGTGTTCCCTAAGTGAGCACAACACCTGCTGCTTGTAGAGATCAGAGAAGTGCAAAATACATTATAACATTGCTTTAGATGATCCTAAAAGGCTGCAACAGTACTTCAAGCATGGCCTTTGAGCAGCCTTTAACTCCAGCACTTCAGAAAAGGGGAGGATCACTTCACCCCCGTGTTTTTGATCCCATTTTTGTACTGACACAGAAGGAAGAAACTTTCCAAACAAAACCAACAAAAAAGCCACAATCTGAACGCTGCACAAGGTGTCTGCCAGCCTCTGTTAACAACTTACAGATGTAGTCTTTCACAGCTCTCTCAAACAGCTCATAAACCTTCTCTCGCTCCGAGCTTTCAGAAGCCATTTTTATCTCATCCTTCAGCCAGTCCAGCCAGATTTCTGAAAGGAAGAAGTTTCAAATGCATCACCAACGGTCAGAAAGAATTAGTTAAACCCACTTGTTCAATTTTTTAAATGGGAGTTTTTAATCACAGACTTAAAAACAGGGAGAGGGCCAAGGAGAGGAGAACAATTTTAGCTTCCACAACTACTCATAATTAATTTAAAAGGAAAATTTAGCAGAGAACTTTTCAAATTAGTACTAATCAATCACAGTTCCATTTAAAGAGAGCAGAAGTTGCAAGCAGTGATTTGTCAGCACCGTGGGCAGAGGATCAGTATGCACCAGTAAGCAAAGAGGCATCCACAGGTACACACCTTTCCTCACACTTTTACAAGAAGGAGTAAATGGTTTTGGAAGCTGCAAGTTTCCACATGCACAGAAGGAAAAGTTCCCTTGGCAAAACAAGGAACAGCCTCTGAAACACTGACATTGCCTCTGGGTTATGAATAAAAGAGAAATGCTCCAAGGGCAACCTGAAACTCCCACCAACATGGTATTTTTTGCTGCTTGCCTGTGAAATTTAATTTTCAGCTTAGGAGTTTGTCTGAGCTCTGAGTCACATTCACTAAGTGACTGGAGTTGTTCCAGTGCTGCTGTCCCACAGCTGGATGTTACCAGCCCTACAGCAAAGGCAGCACAAGGACAACCAGCCTGTCCCTGGGGTCACATCCTGGCAGCAGCTCCCCCAGCTAACAGACAGACAGAGCAGAGACTGGAGTAGCTGGGCACACACAAACCCCTTCACACCAGCTCCCCTCTAAGGCAGCAGAGGCCAGGGCAGGACAACGTGGTTACAACCAGCAAAAACTTGAATTCCTGCAACAGGGCCACTACTCTGCATCTGCCAGAGGCCAAGCTCCACGCTGGCCACTAACACCAGCAGCATTCAGAGTTTAAAAGTCTCAGATCTGGAAGTGGACTGGAACAATACTGGTGGAGCATGGCAGAAATATGTTATTTCCCTACTTCAACAACAGTATTTGACACGGGTGATGCCTCAGCAGTGTCACTGCAACACAAGCAGAACACACTCTGTACCTTCAGTGAGTGGAAAGAGTTCACTCATCTTCTGACGAGCTCTTCTGAGCTTCACCAGCTCTCCCTCCTGGCGCAGCAGCTTTATCAGATCCAAGTGACAGTTATAGTCAAAAGCATTGATGGAAAGCTTAAAAAAAAACAAATATATATATATTTTTAAAGCACTGGTAAGTGATGGACATGAAGAAATCAGAAAACAACGAGCAGAACAGAACCTTGGACTCTTTTTTGGGGGGGCATACAAATGTCATCCTGCGTTCACACAGGCAAAACAACACCCACCTTCCTGCAAAGGGCTGAAACAAACTTCACTGCTGTTCACAGGATGCTCTCAGGTCACAAGCAGACATTTATAAAAAAACCACTTCCAAGTTAAACAGTTTTAAGTTAAGCTCAAAGCTTCGCTCATGGCTCCAAGCTCTAAAGGTTACTGCTCAGCAGTGCAAATGCCAGCACCAGAGTAGAGCAGAAACAGATTCAGGAGTGCAAAATGAAAAAGGCCCTTTCCAACAGAGCCAAATGGGGTTGAATTTCTTCAGAAGCAATAAAACCCCCAGCCAGCCAGCTAAGGTTTTTTTTCCTCAATGAGCACCAACTGCCCCCTAGGGCTCCGCTCTCCAATTTCGCCTTCATAAAAACCCCCCAAAACCCCTTAGTTTCCACTTCTGACTCTAAATATTCAGGTTTTGACAGTGCCCAGTGCTGAACTACACGAGCAGCCGCGGATTATCT